AATCCTAAATCCTGAGCCCTAGACCCCTAAACCCTAAACCCTATGGGCTCAATTTTTTGAATCCTGTAGTGGGCCTGGGATCCCAAGGATGAGATATGTGAAAGACTCCATGTCACGTTCTTCGGCTCATGCCATGCACCGTCGCTTTAGGGTTTAGGGTTAAGGGTTTAGGGTTTAGGGATTTAGGGATTTAGGGTTTAGGGTTTAGGGTTTCGCTTTAGGGTTTTTGGTTCGAACCTAGGGCTCAAAGACATGTAAGAATCCAAGTGCCTGTCCAAGCGTACATGGCTCTCCATACTATGCTTAACCCGTTATTTTCCCTCCGATTCTCAAACATTTTGTTAACGCATGCTTGCAATCTAAACTCCCATTGTCTCCCTTTAGAACCTCTGTAGTACTCCCCTTTATCATCGACTATATAACGCCTTTAAGGAGTTTAGACTCTGAACCCTACACGAATTATGATATAGTCCCCTATGCAACCCCCCTTTTAAGGAGTTTAGACCATATCTCATAGAACCCATTATAGTAGTTTCCATTTTCTTTTCCATTATCCCCCATATAACCCCAATATAACCCCAATATAACCCTAATAGTACTCTAATGGGTACCATAATTTTGACAACCACCCAACCCTAGACCCTAAACCCTGAACCCTGAACCCTAAACCCTAAACCCTAAACCCAATATAACCCTAATATAACCCTAATAGCTCATAGTAGCTCACATAATTTTCAGCCACTCTGGATCTTACACCAGGCGGAGTCCTGGGATGCTGTGCGACGAGGTTTCGGCCTCTGCCGGCGCATCCAGGAGGGGTCCTGCAGGTGCAGGGAACCTTGGGTTTAGGTTTAGGGTTTAGGGTTTAGGGTTTAGGGTTCAGGGTTTAGGGTTTGGGGATTAGGGTGTAGGGTTTAGGGTTACCGTCCCCCTTAAGTAGGTAGAATATGGTTTTGGGACATATTTGAATACGATCCCCATATACCCCATATTCTATCTACTTAAGGGGGACTATAGGGTTTAGGGCTTAAACTTCTGTCTCTACTTGCAAGGAGCATACCTCATGTCGGGTCTGAGGGGTACCGTAGGATCGTAGAAGCTCAGATGGAAAAGAGAATGGAAAATGAAACGGAGACTAGGATAACCATGTGAGCTATAGTCTAAACTCCTTCAGGGGGGGTTATATAGGGGACTATATAGGGGACTACTATAGGGGTTATTAAGGGGATACTAGGAGTTTAGATAATGGCTCATGTAGTCCCTGGACTTCTGAAAATACTTGCACGAGGCAAACTACTGCGGAGTTCATGGTCAAGTTGACCCTCCAAGATCGACGGCCCGGATTTCGGACCCGAACTGGCCGACAAAACATATAAGCCGGCAGCAGCAAGCACGTCATCGATGCGGACACAGAGCTGCAAAGGCACTAGACGATAATATAGCGTAATAAACTGTAAAATACCCATAATTCACTATAATACACCAATAATATCCTATGACATACACATGATATCCTATAACATACCCATGTGAGTACTCTATATTGAGTACCATAGTAGCCCCAAATAAAATACAATATAACCCTATAGTCCCTTTAGTTTCCATTTTCTTTTCCATTATCCCCATAAAGTACTACCCATGTTAATTGCACCCCATGCAGGTCCTAGTGAGCCAGGATCCTTGTCCAGACACCGCACTTCCACCTTGCGCTCCGCATCTTCCGTGCCCTGCGGGCAAGCTGGCACGGGGTTAGGGTGTAGGATGAAAAGCCCATATAATCCCTATAATATTCAATACTCTATATAATCCCTATAATACCCTATATGATCCCTATAAAACCCTATATAGTCCCTATAAAACCTCCCAGAAGAATACCTGGAACCAGTCGTATGGGAGTGCCAGCCACTTTGTGCCACGGGCCGCGCCTGCGGTGGCCTCCAGCCTATCATGGTCAGGACCTGCCACGGGAACTCGAACCTAGGGCTCCCAGTTACCTAAGTAGTAAGTTACTTTGCTATGTAACTATAGGGTATATGGAACCTAGAACCCATTATTTAGGTAACTCGAGCCCTAGGATATTACATTCCGTCCCCGAATGGTAGGGGCCCCGGAGGGGAAGTTTGATGGCTGGGATGCAACGAAAGCAGGCTTCCCACCTCAACCCACAGGATGATCTCCTGCAAGAGAAGATCTGGAAAACTGCACCAGGACACATCCCTACACGATCTCTACGCATCTCAGCCTTGCCATCCATATTTGATGCAAAGCCGTCTGCTGAAGCTCCAGAACCACCTCCGCCGGCAGCCTTTACAGCTTGTATAGGGGTCATGCAGGGAGTACGGGGGATTCGGCTCTGTCTAATATATATATATATATGTGCTATATATGCTGCCCCCCTCTCATTTACCGACCCTTTTGCGTGTGTTCAGATGCTATGCCCAGGAACACCAGGACCATTGATCCTCTGTTGTATCAGTAAAATGTAAAAGCACACAGGCTTCAACAATATGTATGTGTATATAATATATATATATATGTATGGGGTACATGGGGATAGTGATGACACGTGCGCATAAAGGGCTTGTATAGGCGAATCTTGCCCAAGGATGGAGAATCACGCAGAAAAGCGAATTGAAAATAACATGGAAACTATCATATTCTTGAAGTTTAAACCCAAGTCCGCCGCAAGCACCCTAACTTCCTAGAGTTACACATGATTGGAACATGACTGCCACATGATTGCAAATTGCGGAGAATGGAGTTTAATGCTTGGGTCCTCGTCATGTAGTAGTTTCCAAGAATAGGGGGACCCCATATAGACTCCAGAGCACTATTATCCTTATCATGGCAATCCCCCAGAAGGTACCCCATTTTGGGGGAACCCTAATCTAAGCTATAGTCTAAACTCCTTAGTGGCCCCTAATAATATCCTACAATATACGATGATATCCTACAATATACTACAAAATACTATAATACACATGCGGCTTTTGAGCAGATTGAAGCCCGGGGTTGCTCCGGCTGCAAGTAGCACGACGATTTTTAGGGTTTAGGGTTTAGGGGGGTGAAACTACGAAGAAAAGCTGAAAAATGGAATGGAAGGCTGTTGCTTTGCAGGTGTGTGTAGGGATGTGTAGGGTCTTGGGGGTTATCACCCTCAGAATGGAGAATCACATGCAAAAATCGAAAATGGAAATAACGGTAATAATAATAGAAATAATAAGAATAGTAATAATAGTAGTAATAATGGTAATAATAATAGTAATAATAAGAATAGTAATAATAATGGTAGTAATAATGGTAATAATAATAGTAATAATAAGAATAGTAATAATAATAATAATGGAATGGCAACTTCATGGATGTCCGGCTTTGGGGGATTGCATTGCAAGTCCGGCTTTGGGCGCGGCTTCCCAAACAGCTTTAGCATAGGTACTGCCCCCACCCTGTGACAGTCTATACTAGGGGTCACATTGCGGGCTATAAATATTATCGAACTGTTACAGAGGCAGGGGCAGCACCCAACCTCTGCACCACAATGACATTGCTGTGAATTTGAGGCTAGAGAAAATTTGTGGGGGAACCCTAAACGCTAAACCCTAAATCATACTCTTTACAAATCAGACGGCCGCACGGACGAGCTGATAGCAATGCTCACCATATCTGCACATATAGTCCCTCTTAAGTAGATACTGTAGTACGTAGGGGTTATATAGGGATAATGGAAAAGAAAATGGAAACTACCATATTATAATAGGGTATATATTGGGGGTTAGTCCCCTTAAGTAGATAGAAAATGAGGTATAGGGGGATCTTATTATACTATTCCCAGAGCCATATTCTATCTACTTAAGGGGGACTCTAATCCCTTTTCTCATCCGAATGTCCATTTCATTCTCCATTTGCTCCTCCTTTGGATATTCCATTTTAATAGTTTCCCTTTTCTTTTCATTGCACAAGCCTGAGCAATCCTCATCTAAGGAAATTGTAGGGGACCCCCAAGAAGGGACACCTATTTTGGGAAACCTTGAACCCTCCATCCTACATCCCCCTATATAACCCCTATACAACCCCTCTAAAGGTACCCTGAATGTTGGGAAACCC